TTTTCTTAAAAATAGATTTATATATATGGTGATTAAAAATACTGCTTGTAAATATGATTGATATTACAAGTATGATCTTTTTATGGTAGATGAGAAAATTGTGAAAAAAATCAGAGGTCTACAGATGAAGGCAGAAGACTATGATGTTGTAAAAGTTATTGGAAGAGGTGCTTTTGGTGAAGTCCAATTGGTAAGAAAGTATTTGTTTTGTTCTTATTGTTCTTTATGACATCATGGTTTCGTGAAACATTATCAGGAGCAGCTGAGTAGATTTAATTTCTATTCCCAACCCTGCCAGAACGTAGCTTTATGATCTTGGTCAGTGTCCTCATGTGTAAAAGGAGGCCTTTGTTTTCTAAACTCTGGGTCTCTTCCAGCTCTGAAACACAATGTAGAAAATAAGGCCAGTGTAGTTTCACATGTGATCTGCCTAGCAGTTAATGTTCCACCAGAACTGATGTATTTTTATTTAGAATGTTCAGATTAATAACATATCTCCTTAAGGAACTGAGATTTATTTAGATATATAAGAAACCGAACAAATAAATTTGAATAACTGAAAGTAAATGTGAAATTTATTTTCTCAGGCCAAAGTGGTACCAATTGGAAATATTACAAATGCTGACAATGACTATTACCTTTATATTATTAATTGGGAAACTGTTTCTAATCTCGTATTCCTGTTTTTATCACCTGAGTATGTGAGTCTCCTCTATGATTGTGAAAAATAGTGAAAGTAGAGTCCAATTCTCTTCTTCATGCTACAGTGTCTACCCTTCTTGATGGAGCACTGAGAAAAGCAGTGATTATTATAAACCAGCATGGATTTTGTTAAGAGCAAGTCATGATAAACCTTTTTTTTTTTTCTTTCATTGCTTCTTTCTTTGGGTTTTTTGTTTGTTTGGTTTGTTTTTGTGCTTTTTTGAGACAGGGTCTTGCTTTGTCACCTGGGCTGGAGTGCAGTGGCACAATCATGGTTCACTGCAGCCTTGACTTCTTGGGCTCAAGCAATCCTCCTACCTCAGCCCCCAAGTAGCTGGGACTACAGGCATGTGCCACCACACCTGGCTCATTTTTTGTAAGATGGGGTTTCAACCTGTTGCCCAGGCTGGTCTTGAATTTCTGGACTCAAGGGACCTACCCGCTTGGCCTCCCAAAGTACTGGGAGTACAAGCATGAGATACCACACTGGGCCTTTCTTTGATAGGTTTATTATACTTGTAGATCAGGGTAGTGCAGTAGATGTAATACATACCATAAAAGAATATTCTTCTGAATAAGTCTGACATACTTGAGGATAATACAATGAAATGGCATGGTAATAATTGTATGGGTAGGCAAGCTTTATAACTAATGCACTAGTTATATTCTAAGAGGCTGGTGAAAGCATGATGGTACATGGGACAGAGACCTTCAAGAAAGGTTTCAGGGTCTCTCTTCTCCTATTAAACATCTTAATGACTTGTATGGGAGCAGTGGTGGTATGTTGAATAATATTGCAAGTGAGTTAAACCTGAAGTATAATGAGGATGATTTTAGGTGATGAGCCAAAATCCAGAAATCATCAATGGTAAAGATGATTGGCCGGACAGAAGTGAAATTCAACCAGAATATGGTACGTGGATGTGAAGAACACAGGAAATAGTTGTTTTAACAGTACTGTCTGAATTAAAGAACCGTTTTCCTTAAATGTAACCAGGCAAGAATTATTAGTGATCAAACTACCTAAAGTAGTAAAGAAATTTGGGCTGCTTTAATATGATTTTGAAATTGATAGAAATTAATGGACCATACCTGTAATATTTTATTTATTCTAGATGCCCTGTTACCCTGTTTTTTACTTTTTCTTTTCTTTTTTTTTTTTTAAAGACTTTCGTTTTTTAAGAGCAGTTTCAGGTTCATAGTAAAATAGAGAGGAAGGTATAGAGATGTCCCAAATACCCCTTGCCCCTACATGTGCACAGACACTTCCATTGTCAGCATCCCTCATTAGAGTACATTTGTGTACAATTGATGCTTACATTGACACATCATAATCACCCGTTGTCATAGTTTACATTAGGGTTTGCTCATGGTGGTGTACATCCCATAGGTTTGGGCAATGATATATGTACAATGATATATGCCCATCATTATACTATTATACGTAGTATTTTCATTGTCCTAAAAATCCTCTGTGTGGTGCCTATTCATCTCCCAGCCCCAAGTCTCTAGCAGTCACTCTCTTGACTGTTTCCATAGCTTTGCCTTTTCCAGAATGTCATGTAATTGGAATCATACAGTATTCAACCTTTTCAGATTGTGATCTTTCACTGAGTAATATGCATTTAAGGTTTCTCCATGTCTTTTCATGATCCTTTAGCTTACTACTTTTTACTAAACAGTATTCTGTTGTCTGACTATACCAAAGTTTATCCATTCACCTACTGAAGGACATATTGGTTGCCTCCAGGTTTTGGCAATTATGAGTAAAGCTGCTATGAACATCCATATGCAGGTTTTTAACATAAATTTTTAATTCATTTGGTTAAATACCAAGTATATTGATGGCTGGATCATACGATAAGAGTGTATTTGGTTTTCTAAGAAGCTGCTGAACTGTCTTCTAAAGTGGTTGTACCAGTCTTCATTCCCACCAGCAATGAATAAGGATTCTTCCTGCTTCCCATCCTCCCCAGCATTTGGTGTAGTCAGTGTTATAATTGACAAAAACCAAGTGTTTTGGTTATTTGATGAGGTGTGTAATGGTATCTCCTTATTATTTTAATTGATATTTCCCTGATGACATGTGATGTAGATCTTTTCATATACTTATTTGCCATCTGTATGTCTTCTTTTTTTTTTGAGGTGATGTCTCCGTCACCCACACTGGAGTGCAATGGCGCATTCTAGGCTCACTGCAACCTCCGCCTTCTGGGTTCAAGTGATTTTTCCTGACTCAGTCTCCCAAGGAGCTGGGATTACAGGCGCTTGCCACCACGCCCAGGTAATTTTTATATTTTTTGTAGAGACGGGCTTTCGCCATGTTGGCTGGGCTGGTCTCAAACTCCTGACCTCAGGCGATCCTCCTGCTTCAGCTTCCCAAAGTGCTGGGATTACAGGCGTGAGCCACCACGCCCAGCCTATGTATCTTTTTTGATGAAGTGTCTGTTCAGTTCTTTGGCCTATTTTTTGATTGGATTATTTTTTTATTGTTAAATTTTAAGAGTTCTTTGTATAACAAGTTCTTTTATATAATATTCATTTATAAGATGTGTCTTTTTCAAATATTTTTCCCCAGTCTTTGGTTTTTCTTCTAATCCTCTTGACGTTGTCTTTTGCGTAGTAGAAAATTTGAATTTTAGTGAAGTTCAGGTTATCAGTTCTTTCTTTCTTGGATTAAGCCTTTGGTGTTATATCTAAAAAGCCATTGCGCTAATCAAGGTAGGTTAGGTTTTCTCCTATGTTATCCTATAGAAGGATATAAGGTCTGGTCTTGATTCTTTTTTTTTTTTTTTTTTTGCGTTGTAGATGTTACGTTATTCCAGCAACATTTGTTCACTCCATTGTATTACCTCTGCTCCCTTGTCAGAGATCAGTTAACTATATGTATGTGGATCTATTTCTGGGCTCTCTATTCTGTTTCATTGATCTATTTGTCTTTCTTTCATCAACATCACACTGTCTTGATTACTGTTGCTTTATAGTAAGTCTAGAGGTTCGATAGTGTCATTCTTTCCCATTTGCCCTTTATTTATTTTTAATTACTATTTTTTGATTCAGTGTCTTGCTCTGTTGCGCAGGCTGGAGCGTAGTGATACGATCCTGGCTCACTGCAACCTCTACCTCCTGGGCTCAGGTGATTCTCCTGCCCTAGCCTCCTGAATAGCTGGTACCACAAGTGTGTGCCACCACTACTGGCTGATTTTTGTATTTTTAGTAGAGGTGGGGTTTTGCCATGTTCAGGCTGGTCTCAAACTCCTGGGCTCAAGTGACCTGCCTGCCTTGGCTTCCTAAAGTGCTGGGATTACAGGTGTGAGCCACTGCACCTGGCTGTTCTTCTTTAATATTGTGTTGGCTATTCTGGGTCTTTTGCTTCTCCATATAGACTTTAGAAACAGCTTGTCAATATCCACAAAATAACTTATTGGGATTTTTATTGCGAATGCGTTGAAAATATAGACCAAGTTGGTCAATATTTGAAGAACTGACATCTTGACAACATTGAGTCTCGATATCCAAGAATGTGGACTGTCTCTCCATTTGCTTAGTTCTTTGATTTTTGTCATCAGAATTTTGTAGTTTTCCTCATATGGATCTTATACATCTTTAGTTAGATTTATACCTATTTTATTTTATTAGGTGCTAATGTAAATGGCATTGTGTTTTTAATTTTAAATTCCACTTTTTCATTGCTCATATACAGGAAAGCCATGAACTTTCGTGTATTAACCTTCTATCTTGCAACTTGCTATAATCACTTCTTCCAGGAAATTTTTGAATTTTCTACATAGATGATCACATAGATACTTCCCAATCTGTATACCCTTTACTTCCTTTTCGTGTGTTATTGCATTACTTAGGACTCCCAGTACAATGATGGAAAGGATTAGTGAGAGAAAATGTCCTTGCTTTTGTTCTTGATCTTAGTGGGAAGGCTAGTTTGTTACCACTAAATATAAAGTAAGCTGTAGATTTTTTTGTAGAAAATTCAGATACAAGTTCTCCTCTATTCTTCATGTACTGAGAGGTTTTTTTTTTTAAAATCATCAGTGGGTGTTAGATTTGTTAAATGTTTTTTTTCTGCATCTGTTATATGATCATCTGTTTTTTTTTTTTTTTTTTAGCCTGTTGGTGTGATGGATTACAACAATTGATTTTTAAATGTTGAATCAGTCTTATATACCTGTAATAAATCCCACTTGGTTATGGTGTATCATTCTTTTACACCACATAATACGTTGTTGGATTTCAGTTGCCAATATTTTGTTGAGGATTTTTGCATCTGTGTCTATTAGAGATATTAGTCTATAGTGTTCTTGTAATATCTTTGTCAAGTTTTGGTATTAGGTTAATGCTGGCCTTGTAGAATGAGTCTGGAAATATTCCCTCTACTTCTATCATCTAAAAGTCATTACAGATAATTTCTTCCATTAATAGGTGGTACATTTCACCATTAAATCCATCTGGACCTCATGCTTTCTGTTTTGAATGAATGATTCAATGAATGGATAATAAGGAAATACTATAAATAACTCTATGCCCACAAATATAGTAACCTAGATGAAATAGACGAATTCCTTCAAAGTCATAACATACCAAAACCTATACAAGAAAAAATAGGCTTACAGTTATTAAATAAATTGAATCAATAGTTTGTCTTCCATTCATTTTCTATCTTTGGTTGTTTTAATTGATCATTTAATATGTTTAGTGTTTGCTCTAGAGTTTTAAATATTTATTTACATTTCTGAGAAAATTAAAAATCTACCAGCTAGAAGCAGTGGCTAATGCCTGTAATCCCAACACTTTGGGAGGCTGAGGCGAGTGGATCACCTGAAGTCAGGGGTTCGAGACCAGCCTGGCCAATGTGGTGAAACCCCATCTCTACTAAAAATACAAACAATTGGCTGGTGGTGGCAGGCACCTGTAATCCCACCTACTTGGGAGGCTGAGGCAGGAGAACCACTTGAACCCGGGAAGCAGAGGTTTCAGTGAGCCAAGATTACACCATTATAGTCCAGCCTTGGCAACAAAGTGAGACTCTGTCTCAAAAAAATAAAATAAGATAAAACTACTACAATCCAGTAATTCCACTACTAGGTATGTCTCCAAAGGAAAAGAAGTCAGTATTTAGTAGCGATATCTGCATTCTCATGTTCATTGCAGCATTATTCATAATAGCCAAGATACGGAATCAACCTAAAGGCCTAACAATGGATGAAGAAAGTTAATATGGTAGATTTACACTTTGGAATATTATTTAGCCTTACAAAAGGAAAGAAATCCTGTCATTTGGAACAGCATAAATAATTGATTGTTGGAGGATCTTATGTTAAGTGAAATTAGCCAGGCACAGAAATAATAATACCACATGATCTCACTTTTATGTGGAATCCAGAAAAGCTGAGTTTATGGAAGTAGAGAATAGAATGGTGGTTACCAGCAGCTAGAGAGATCTTTGTCAAAGGATACAAAATTTCTGTTAGATGGGAGGAATAAGTTAAAGAGTTCTGTGGTACAACATAGTGACTATAGTTAATAATGTAGTCTCAAAAAAATCTCTAAAGAGGATAGATTTTAAGTGTTTCCAACACAAAAAAATTAAAAGTGAGGTAATGCTTATGTTAATTAGTGAGTTAATTAATGCTTATGTTAATTAAAAGTGAGGTAATGCTTATGGTATGTGAGGCAATGCTTATGTTAATTAGCTTGTTTTAGCCATTCTACAGTGTATACTTACTTCAAAACAACATGTTGACACCATAAAAATATGCAATTTTTGTCAATTAAAAAAAATTTTTTTTCTGAAAGGAAGCTTAAATACTAAATGAAGGAATCCCGTCTGTAAATCCTGCTCTATTCCATCTATAAGACATTCTGGAAAAAAAGCAAAACGTTGGAAGCAGTAAAGATTAGTGGTTGCTACCTAGAGAAAAAGAAGTCATACAAAAAAGATACTTGCACACATATGTTTCTAGCAGTACCATTTGCAATGGCGAAATTATGGAACCAACCTAAATGCTCATCAGTCAACGAGTGGATAAAGAACCTGTGGTGTATATATACGGTGGAATACTACTCAGCCATGAAAAGGAATAAATTAACGGCATTCGTAGCGACCTAGGTTAGACGGGAGACTTATTCTAAGTGAAGTAACTCAGGAATGCAAAACCAAACATTGTATGTTCTGACTGATATGTGGAAGCTAAACTATGAGGATGTGAAGGTGTAAGAATGATACACTGGACTTTAGGGACTCGGGGGGGATGATGGGAGGGGTGCGAGGGATAAAAGACAACACCTGGGCACATTGTATACTGCTCAGGAGATGGGTGCACCAAAATCTCACAAATCACCACTAAAGAGCTTAGTCATGTAACTAAACACCACCTGTACCCCAGTAACCCATGGGGGGTAAAATATTAGTGGTTGCCTGAAAGTTGGGAAGGGGTGATTTTGTAGGGCAGTGAACCTATTCTATCTGATACTGTAATGGTAGATACATAACATTTTGTCTGCAAAAGCCATAGAATTGTGTAGCAGAAATAGTGAACCCTAATGTAAACTCTGGACTTAGTTAATAGTAATGTATCAAATATTGTTTTATCAGTTATAACAAATGTACTACACCAATGCATTCCTCTAATATGTTAATACTAGAGGCAACTGAAAAAGAGAAGGGGACGGGGAGTATATAGAAACTCTTTGTACCATATATAGTTTTTCTGTAAACCTAAAACTGTTCTAAAAAAAAAAGTCTATTAATAAAAACATGAAAAAATAAAATATACTCACAGTTTATCCAAGTCCACTTTCAAATCACAGCATACCACTTCACAGGGGGTGTAAAATACCTTATAATAACAAAATAATCCTAATTCCTTCCCCTTATCACATCTATCATTGCTGTTATTCATTTTGTGAATATATATGTGTACATATACAGCGGTACACATACAGACAAGCATACGTTACTGAATATACTGTTGCTATTATTATTTTGAGCAAACTTATTAGATCAATTAAGAACAAGAAAATAAAAGTTTTTGTTTTACCTTCACTTGTTTCCTCTATTTCTATTTTTGCAAGAAACATCAAATGGACATGGTTCCATTTACTTATATCTTCCTTAATTTCTTTTAACAGTGTTTTGTAGTTTTTGTCATATGTCCCTTTTTGATTAATTCCTAAATGTTCTTCTTGATGTTGTTGTAAATGGAATTGTTTTTGTAATTTTCATTTTAGATTATTTTTAGCGTATAGAAATATCTATTTTTGAGTGTTGACTTTGCTGCAATTTTGCTTATTTATTACTTCTAACACATTTTTCAGGGGGTGGAATCTTTAGGATTTTCTACATAAAAGATCATATATCATTTATGGACAAAGATAGTTTTATTTATTTTTTTATTATCTAATTTCTCTGGCTAGAACTTCCATTGCTATGTTGACTAGAAGTGGTACAAGCCTTTCCTTGTTCTTGATCTTCATGGGAAAGCTTTTAGACTTTCACTGTTGAGTGTGATATTCATGTGGGTGTTTCATATAGGTTGTTTATTTATTATGTTGAGGTAGCTTTATTCCTGATTTGTTGAGTGAAACACAGGTTGTTTATTATGTTAAGGTAATTTTCTTTTATTCCTGGTTTTTTTAGTGTTTTCTTGCTTTAAATCATGAAAGAGTATTGAGGTGAGGCACAGTGGCTCATGCCTGTAATCCCAGCACTTTGAGAGGTCAAGGCAGGCAGATCACCTGAGGTCATGAGTTCGTGACCAGCCTGGTATGGTGAAACCCCGTCTCTACTAAAAATACAAAAATTAGCTGGGTGTGGTGGCGGGTGCCTGTAATTCCAGCTACTAGGGAGGTTGAGGCAGGAGGCTTGATTGAACCTGGGAGGTGGAGGTTTCAGTGAGCTGAGATTGTGCCACTGCACTCCAGCCTAGGCAACAGAGTAAGACTCTGTCTCAAAAAACAAGTGCTGAATTTTGTAAAATGTGTTTTCTACCTCAATTAAAATGATTATGTGTTGCTTTTCTTTATTCTATTAATGTGGCTTAATACAGTGATTGATTTTCACATGTTTAACCATCCTTGCATTCCAGGAATAAATCACACTTGGTCATGATGTGGAAACCTTTTAATATACTGCTGATTTTAGTTTGCTAGTAATTTGTTGAGAATCTTTCTATCAATTTTCAGAAGTGATACTGGTTGGTAGTTTTATTTTCTTGTATAGTCACCTGCCCTTATCTGTAGTTTTACTTTTTATAGTTTCAGTTGCCCACGGTCAACCGAAAAAAAGATCTGTCTATGGGTTTAATTATGGTTTAATGGGAAAACAGAAGTGATTGACGAGTTTGTGTGTCCATCAGATTGCGGGGACCTGGAAAACACCAGCCTTGTTTTCCGGTCTACTGGGAGACACTTTGTCTCTTGGAAAGTGGTTAGGATGAACATGCATCAAGGCCCTGCCACAGAGCTTCCACAAAGGAAAGTCACTCTGGGGCAACCCAGAGCAGTCGACAGGACCAGAGACTGACAGGAGTGATTCTGAACAGTCCAGTCAAGGTAGGGTCTGCCCTCACGGTTTCCTACAGAAATAACTGCATGTTTGGCAGAAGGCCCTATTTCTCGCCCTGGGCTACCTCTTCAATTGAGGCTTTCATGAAAGACCATATACTATTTCAGGTTGCCAAGAGTTTGGGTTATTGTGCTAGTTGTCAGGAAAGGCTAGGCTAGCTCACGTGCTGTGAGCTAGTCCAAACCTTATTACCTGGTCTGTGAAGGGAGGCCAGTTGAAAATATTATATATAATAAGATATTTTGAAAGAGAGAGAGAGACCATATTCATATAGCTTTTATTAAAGTATATTTTTATAATTGTTCGTATTATTAATTTTTACTGTGCTTAGTCTATAAATTGAACTTTATCATAGATATGTAGGTATAGGAAAAAGCATATTAGGATTCAGTACTCTCCATGGTTTCAGGTATCCACTGGGGTCTTGGAATGTATTTCCTGAGCATAAGAGGGGACTGCTGTAGTGTTCGAAATGTTCCTTTCCCTTTAACTCTTTTGGAAGCCTGAGGGGATTTTTCTCCAGTATTTACTGTGAGACTGTGGTTGAGCTCTTGGATGTAAAATCTGTAAAGGTATGGGGTCTTACCTATAACTGGGTCCCCTGCAAGTTTTTAATTCTCAGACTTGACCACCACTTAGCCTCCAGCAATTTGTCAGTTGCTCAGATTTTTCTGTCTCAGCACTGGTTCCCGTGGCAGTTTCTCCTTGTGAATCTTGGAACTTGTAGCCATGGCTCCCTCTATTTGTTTGTCTCTCCAATTTGGGGGTCAGTGGTTTGCTTGGTGTCCTTACCTGTCTTTTGGATCCTAGAAGAACTGTTGGTTTTTCAGTGTCTTCAGCTTTTTATTTGTTGTTAGGATAGAAGGGGATTTCCAAGCTCCTTACTTGTGGAATGGGAAACCTGTCGCCCTGTCTTAAAAGGGAAATTGATAGAATATACTCAAGGGATATTCTTGAGTATATTCTTGGTGCTCAGGGCACTTGAAACAGTGCTATCTGAGGTTGAAAGGTTCATTTGAACCAGAGTTGAGGAAAGGACTACTTCGGAAAGCCGTGAAGCTTTGTTATTGTTTGACTGGGGTTTGTTGTTGTTTGTTTGTTTGTTTTTTGAGACAGAGTCTCGCTCTGTCGCCAGGCTGGAGTGCAGTGGCGTGATCTCGGCTCATTGCAACCTCCGCCTCCCGGCTTCAAGCAATTCTCCTGCCTCAGCCTTCCAAGTAGCTGGGACTATAGACGTGTGCCACCATGCCCGGCTAATTTTTTTTGTATTTTTAGTAGAGACAGGGTTTCACCACGTTGGCCAGGGTGGTCTTGATCTCTTGATCAAGACCTCGTGATCCACCCGCCTCAGCCTCCCAAAATGCTGGGATTACAGGCGTGAGCCACCGAACCCGGCCCGTTTTTTTTTGGGTTTTTTTTTTTTGTTTTTTTTTGAAATGGTGAAGCCTCAGCTTTTAGAATTTTGATACTGTGATTGGGAAAGTGGGGGATTACATAATACGACAGTTGAGTTGTGGAAGATCATCCTGAAGATAGGGAAAATAAATACTGTAGTAGTTGAATCCTAGCTCTGCCATTTTCTAACTCAAAGATCATGTTGACCACAGGCATGAATCCTTCGGAGTTCCCACCTATAGAATAGAGATAATTATACTTGTTTGATGGAAGTCATTATGGGAGACTAAAGGAATTAATAAAATAAATAAGCCTTGTTATAGTGCTCTGTAAGTGTTAATTGTATTATTGCCTATTTGGTATATAGATTCATGCTGTAAATATGTTAAACAGATGCATTGTTTCTGCATACTTGTGATTCAGTGTAGTTATGGAAGAGATACAGAATTTGGGGCTGAATTTTAGAAGGAAATATGACAGACCTTGACTTCTGTCTTAATGGCAGGATATTCACTGTACTATGTTAATTTGATCATTACAATTTAATATGTTAAAGGAAAGAGAAGAAAATAAAGGAAGATATATAGATAGAGAAGGCTTTTGTTTTTGTTTTTATCATTAATTTTTCATCCCACAATTTGTTTTGGCCACAAAATATGCAGAAACAAAGTCTACATTTTTAGAAATGAAAAATATTTTAACATTTCATTAATCTGATGACCTGACCAAAGAGTTTATAGCATGTTTGTTTTGGCTTTAGCTCTTCGTTCTGTTACTTTATGCAGAGACTCTTTAAAATAAGAAGATTGCAAAGGAGAAGTGCGGGTGCTTCTTTCATAGCCTTTTAACATTGATTCGTGCACAGTAAATAAATTAGTATGGCGGATATGTGTAGGCTGTTCCACATTTGGCACATCTTTATGAGTATGTTTTTCTAGTCATTTGAAGAAAGTTTTGTAAGAGTTGGTGTAGATTTGTCCTTTCATGTGAAATACTTTTTCATTTCAAGTTAAAAATGCATTACCACAGAGGATCTACCTATTTCTACAGATAGAACTCTCATTGTAAAAGTAACTTTAGTGTGTCACAGTGGGTATTCCATAGTATGGTGATGCACAGCATTATGATGTTTTGGTCAATGATAGACTGCATATATGTCAGTGGTCCCAAAAGAGTATAATGGAGCTGAAAAATCCCTTTAACCTAGTGATGTCAGCTGTCTTAAGGTCATAGCCATCTTAATGCCATAGTCCCAACACATTACCAATGGAAATCAGTGGTGAAAAAAGAAACAAACCAAACAAACCACCAGGGACATATTTCTGAAAAGAGTGACACCTGCTCAAGAAGTACCTCAGGCAGGTCCATCAGGAGAGGGTATTATTATCTATCGTAGGAAATGATACCTCCATGAATGTTACTTCCCCTGGAAACCTTTTGGTGGGACAAGATGTAGAGGTGGAAAGCAGTGATATTTGTGATCCAGACCCTCTGTAGGCCTATGCTAGTGTGCGTGTGTGTTTTAGTTTTCAATAAAAAAGTTGTAAAAATAGAAAAGTTTTTGAAAAAACCTAAAAATAGAAGAACCATAGGTGTGTACCACCATACATGGCTAGTTTTGAAAAAAATTTTTTTCGTAGAAACAGGATCTCCCAGTGTTGCTCAGACTAGTCTCTAACTCTTGGCCTCAAGCAGTCCCCCTGAGTAATCCCCCTACTTACTTGTTATTCCTAAAAAAAATGTTAAGTGACATTAAATTTTTCCCTGGTCACTGTTTTATTTAAAACTATAGAATTTAATATATAAATGCATTCTCATTCTCAGAGGTCTAAATTGCTTAGAATTAGGTGGAAGAACATGTTAAAACCTCCGTTTTATCATGTTTCTTTCTTCCTATTCTCATTTTCAAACATAAAGGTAACCACCTTCTTTGTATCCTTTTACTGCTTGGTGATTTACAGACTTTTGGAGACTGTTGCAAAACTAGTGTTGAATTATTTTTAGTGGGTATTTACATTTTCTCCTAATTATTTTCATTCTAGGAAAGTTTAAAACTTCCCTATTGAGTTATGAAAATTTCCTTTGAAATTAAAAATTATTTTATGTATATGATGAATATGTTCTCAGTAGAATAATGAGAAAGTAAGCCAACATTATACTTTTAAGACTCACCTATAGTGTTAGAACTGAGAGATAACTACTCTTATTAATTTGATATATAGATTTCCAACTTTCCCATTGCTAAATGTATATGTAATACATGTAAACCCTAACTATACATGCAAAGTTAAAGGATAATTATGTACATTGTTTTGTAATTTGTGTTTCCTAATGCAGTAATAAATGATAGTATACACTTTTTTTTAGTAGTTATAACATGCCAGGCAGACTTTTAAGCCATTTGTATAGTAACCGGTCTTCACCACAGTGCTTTCAGGTAAGTATTATTTCTATTAGCCTATTGTACAGATGGGAAAATTAAACTCAGGTTGTTAGGATAAATAACCTACCAAAGTTCACATAGCTGCTAAGTGATTGAAATGAGATTTGAATTTAGGCAGAGGATTCCAGAGTCTGTTCTCTTTGACATATGGTCATAACCATCTTTCCATGTCAATAAATATAGACTTCACCCGTACTTTTATTGGGTGTGTAGTATTTCACTATCATCTCACTCAAACTCTTAGTAATATTCTGATCTCTTCATTTCTTGAAATGATTCTTTACATGCTCTTCTTTCTAAGTTTCCCTCATGGTTCATTCTCTAACTGACTTCTAAATATTGCCGTTTCCAATGGCCACGCTCTTTGTTTATTTTATTTGCATTCTTAAGGCAAGCTCGTGAGTTCCTGGGACTTTAAATACAGTTAATATAATAACAAGGCTCAAATTTGTAGTTATGGCACAGAACTTTGTACTTTGCTCTCCAAGTCATATCCGCATTGACTTATTTGACATCTCCATGAAGATGTGTCATAGACCTCTAAAATGTGAAATTAGAATGTTTGACTCCTTTGTTCTTCCTCCACAAATCTGTTTCTTCTCTTTCTGATCTTAGTAAATGGCTCTTGCATTAACTTAGTTGTTCAAGTCAAAAAATTAGGAGTCATCATTGATTACTCTTTTTTCTGTTCAACCCTTGTAGTTAACTTTTCAGTAAGCCCTGTTTCTGCTTTCATAATATTTCTCCAGTTCATCCACTTTCACTGTCATCACCTTCATCAGGGCACTCCATCATTACCCAGTTATGTATGAACACCTGCTTTGCATTGTGTTTTTGACTTCTGCTAACAGTGTTTCACCATTGTTACTGTTGATCTTAGGTTGTGAAGCACCGATGGAGACAGTGTCAGGACTCTGCTTATTATATCTGTAAATTCATACTATCCAAGCTCAGTTAGACTGACATTACTGTTTAGCAGACTGTCTTCCCTCTGCTTGAACTATCCTTGTGTTCTCATGTATTACTCCTATCCCCATTCCCAGCTTGAGTGTATTGGAATTAAGAGTGGAGCTTTTTTCTAGCATACATGTTTTGTTTTTTCTTTTTTCTTTATTTCCCCACCCCCTTTTATTGAGTTAGATAAAGAATGGGAATTCTGCATCTGATCTGACTACTATAAACTGCTGTCAAGTTGACCTTATAAAATATATTTATGTATAATTTCTGTCTGTATTTAATGGATCTTTTTCCTGCTGAATGAACTATGAAATCATCATGCTGGCCTTCTAGGCCATCTTTTAAGATGTTTCTAATTAAAAAAAAAAAAAAAAAAATCTTAAACCCTTATCTTCCACTGAGCTATATTCATTGTAGCCAGACTACTCATTTCAGCGCATGCTGAGCCTGCTGGTTTTTTTTTTTTTCTTTGTTTTTTTTTTTTTTTTTTGGTCTCTTTCTTCAATCATACAGTCTTACTCTGTGTCTCTCAATGTTCATTTTAAGAAAACTTCTAGTTCCTTTTACTCTTCCTTCTGCCTCTCATCTGAATGTGATCTCTCCTCTGTATCCTTTAATTATTTTATCATATTATGCTTCGTGCTACAGTTTATATACTTTTATTTCCTTTTTTTTAATGGTGAAAAGATATACATATATTTAGAGTTAACCAGCTGGACTCAGTTTAGATGATCCCAGTTTTGTTGGCAACATCTAGAGCATTGTAATCAGGAGCCAATTGAACATATGCTTTTTTCTCTCCGTCAGGCTGAATCAGGGTGTTGACCTTGGCCACATCAGTGTCATAAGAGCTTCTTCACAGCCTGTTTGATCTGGTGCTTGTTGGCTTTAACATCCACAGTGAACACAAGTGTGTTCTTCATGGCAGACTCAGTGGTCAGTGGAAACTTGGTGGTAGCACAGTGGTCAAGCTTGTTTCTCCTGGGGGTGCTCTTCCAAGGATATTTGGACTGCCTCTGGAGTCGCAGTGTCTTGGGCCACTAGAAGGTGGAGGACGTGCAGATCTTCTTTTTTTGTGGCTGTGGACACCTTTCAACACTGCCTTCTTGGCTTTTAAACCCTTGGCTTTGGCTTCGGGTTTAGGAGAGGCAGGAGCTTGCTTCTTCGATGGCACCATCTTGCTAAAAGGCTTAAAAAAAAAATATATATATATATATATATATAGTAAAACGTTGACGGCAGGAACTGTGTCTTTCAAATACTTTTGGCATTTCCATAACGGATTCATAGCTATTCTAAATAGTTCACGCATATCTGGGGAGATGATCTTATTTAGTCAAGTTCACAGTTTTGGAGGAATATCTATAGAGCAGCCGGAAAAAAAAGAGAACCCTCATTATAGGCATTTGTCAGTTCAACCCAGACATTGGTAGCTAATGTGTAACTGTGCACCCAGATCATATCTGGAGTTAGATTTTTCTTGTCTTTCAGTATCCTGTATAGCACAGAACCTTGAATGTAGAAAGTTTTTATTGAAGTGAATTGACTGTGATCCTTCCTGATCACTGGGCTTATTGTTTCCTGGGCATCCACTGGCTTGCTTTTAATTTAGTTTTAAACCAGGCTTTTAAAGTAGAACCAACCAGAAGGCAGAGATGTTGGGGACATGATTTTCCAATGGTACTCATGTAAACTTAACTTTTTAATTCCTTTTTTGGAATAAAACAGGCTCTTGACTGTTTACAGGGTTATTTCTAAGTTGCAAAAATTATCTGTCTTTCAACATGTTTTGGTAATTCCTATATCCTCCATTTGATCTTGGCTGCCACAAACAGAAAGTACGAGAACATTTTTTTCTTATGTCTATGGTAGAAATAGTAACTGCTCCAGGTCTGTCAAGTACATCGATTAGATCTTCTTATAAAAATAATATAATATTTTTTATAATAAAAATAAATTTGAAATCTTCAAGTGAGGTGTTTTGGTTAGAATTATTTTCAAAACATTTTGTCCATAAGCGTTTGAGGAGGTCTGTTTTAGGATTTTCTAAGTATATTAGTCAGTTTTCACACTGTGAATAAAGACATACCGGAGACTGGGCAATAAACAAAAGAAAGAGGTTTATTGGACTTACAGTTCTGCATGGCTAGGGAGGCTTCACAATCGTGGTGGGAGGCAAGGAGCAGCACGTCAGGTCTTATGTGGATGGCAGCAGGCAAAAAGAGCTTGTGCAGGAAAACTCCCCCTTATAATAACCATTAGATCCTGTGAGACTTAATATCATGAGAACAGCACAGGAGAGACCTGCCCACATAATTTGTTACCTCCCACCAGGTCTCTCCCACAACACAAGGGAATTCAAGATGAGATTTAGTTGTGGACACAGCCAAACCATATCAGCAAATATGTCTCTGGCTACACTTAGGAATGTCTTATCTACTTAATTTTTTTTTTAAGTTCTGCATATTACCTTCAGAAAGTACAAATAAAAATAAGAATAAAAATTACCAAAGATTTTATCAGTCATGTTATTACCCTGTTAACTTTTGATATCTATCTATCTATCTATCTATCTATCTATCTGTTTTTCTCATATGGATAGCCAGTTGGTGTTTTTGCACTCACCCACTTTTAAAATTAAAAACAAGGAATATAGCGATCCTTTCTATACAAATCGAAACACTGTAATAGGAGCAGTGTTTTTATCCTTTCGGTACTCATAGGCTAGTGACGGGAAATTCATGTCATACTACGTAACAGAATCAGCCAAATTCTATTTGTCTGTGGTGGAGTCAGCTAACATTTTTATTGAGAATATTCTGTGTGCTGAACATTTATAGCCATTATCTCATTTTATCTGTGTAATAACTCTATAAGATTATTATATAAATGAAGCCACTGAAATTTAGAGATTAGGTAAATTGGCCACGTAGTTCATAAACAACTAGGAGTTTGCCCAGGTTTGTTGACATTTAAATCCATGCTTTTAAACAATACTCTGTATGGTGTGATAATGAATAGCCATTGTATCTGCCTGTCCATCTGTCTGTCCATCTATATTGAATAAAGGAGAAGGAGTTGGAGAATAAAGAGAAATCTACAGAGATGCTGAGGAAAATAATAATAAAAGAGCTCAGAAAAAGACATCCTTAAAGGATGATCAGTGGAAATCAGCTTTGCTAAAGTAACAGCACTTTACTGTGGTACTTTGTAACATGACAGCTAATGAATTATAAAGGTATGGTATCGATACTTGGCATAAATAAGATTATTGCCTCTTAAATGTTTGCTCTGTAGATTAAGTTATGTAAAAGACCACAAGTTTGTGGTTCCCAGCTCTTGGTTTATGAGCCAGGAACTGTCCCATCAAAGCAGTTTAAGTGAAATTCAGGCCTTATGAACTAGAACATGTAGCCAAAATGTTCTAAAGTTTTGTAGATATCATACAGATATATGATTTTGTTGAATTAGTCAATTTAGAATTGTACCTACCACTAGGCAGTCTCACAAGTGAAAGTGTTATCTTCCTAAAGTAGCTTATGAAGTAGACATGTTCACAACTAATAGATTAGTTTAGGTGCCGTGGAAACACACAGAGGGGAGCAGTTTTACATGAAGAATCACCAAAAGGGAAGTCAGTCAGCATTTTTCTCATATTCAGAAGTCATCTTATGCCTATCTTATGTGATTTTTTTTCATGTGAATGAATATATTTTTTCTAGGTTTGTTTTTCTGTTTAGTTATCTCATATGTAAATATTGCTAGTTTAAATATTTAACTGTTTTCTAACAGCTGACAAATATTTTAGCTTCTTTTGATATCTTTATAGCAGAAATTTAAAAACTGTTCTTGCCATGTTCTGAGTCAAGCGTAGGTAATAATATTGTATAAATTAATTGGCTCTTAATGTTGCATGGGTTGGTTTCTCTAATGAAGTTAGGAAACATTCAAAATTCGATTTGTTCTTAAAGTAAGTGAAGATTTGAAGAGTGATATAAATATATATAGAAGAAGGACTGTATTAGCAACTCCTTTTTTTTTTTTTTAAAAAGAGTTTTGCTCTGTTAACCCAGGCTGGAGTGAAATGGTGTGATCTCGGCTGACTGCAACCTCCACCTCCCAAGTTCAAGTAATTCTCCTGCCTCAGCCTCCTGAGTAGCTGGGATCACAGGTGCCCGCCACCACACCCTGCTAATTTTTGTGTTTTTTTAGTAGAGACAGGATTTTGCCATGTTGGCCAGGGCGGTCTCGAACTACTGAACTCAGATGATCTGCCCACCTCAGCCTCTCAAAGTGCTGGGATTACAGGCAGGAGCCACTGCGCCTGGCCTAAGCAACTTCTTTTTAACACTGTTGATGTATTTTAAACTATATTTAACAATATTAAACTATATTTTAAACTTTATATAACATTGCTGGAATGACTGTTTGAGATAACCTGCTAATTGAACACAAATCAGTTGAAAATCTGGTCTGTTTTCTGCAGGAAGGGTTTTCTAGTTTCAAGTCTAGGATAATTCTTTTCTTAATTTCCTACCCCCCACCTGTGTTTTCATATTACTTTTCTGTACATTTATTTTCAGTATTCTATAGATTTTACAACACTATAGAAATCAAAGGAATTGTTACTCCAGCTTGGTCATTTAATATAGAAGATGGATGTAAACCGTGCTTCTTGTCATCACTAATTTGGCTGTTTGCATTTAGGATTCTTGCAATATACAGTTACAGTGTATCACAATCCTTCAAATTTCAAAATATTTTTTCACAAGAAAAATATGTTTTATTTAAAGATAAATTAATCTAAAAGTAGTGCCAAATAGGACTGCTTATTAATATACATTTATGTATCACTAAGGATAATTACTAATTAATACTTTTACACAATTAAAAAATGTATAAACACCGTTAGCTACATAAATTTATGTAGTCCTAAACAACCTTCTGATAGGTGTTATGATACTAGCTTTATAGATTGCAAAATTGAGTCGCAGAGAAGTCAAATGACTTGCCCAAGGATAAAGAATTCAGTGGCAGAACAGGAACTGGAACCCATATTTGGATGATTTTGAATCCAGAAGTATTTTAATTATATTTAATCAGTAACTTCTAAAATGCTTATGAATGTTTTATTTTGGCTTAAACGTTTGTCTTGAAGTTCTATTTATAATATATGATATGTAAACACTGATTTATATAGTTAATGCAAAGATAACTTCAGTCTGGTCTTTACCCTAATGATCGCCAACTAGAGAAAAGTCATCCATATAAATGAGGGTCTATAACAGCTTTTCCCAAAGTGTGAAGCATGCTAGTGTAGGTATCAAAGGAGTATTTATTATTTTAATGTATTTCCCAGCCTAAAAAGCCACGAGCCCTCAGATCAGCCAACAACTGGTTGAAGATCCTACGTTAGTGAAGCCTAAATCTTCCTTAAAAACTCAAACTTTCTTCTTCCCTATCCTCACTTCTCTTGAAGCTGTCTTTGTCTGGCTCCTTCCCCTCTGGGCACATGCAGTCTCCTCATAATTTCCTCTAGTCTGTCACTCTTGCCTTTCCTATATTTGACTCTTCATACTTCTTCAGTAATCCAACTCTTCCTCTTCGGCTCTCTCTCCCTTTTTAGTTTTTCTTCTTCTTCTTTTTTAAATTCCTTTCCAAAATCCACACGTCAAACACCAATGTCCCTTTTACCCCTTGGGTTCTTCATAAAACTTTCATATCTACCTTAGCCCCGCCTTCCTAGTCGTGTCCCACCTCCCATCCCATCGCAGCTCCTCCTCCACTCAACCCACCCTAACCCCTTAACCTGTGACTAACAGAAATAACCTGCTGTTAACAAAATCTGTGGTATGAAGTGTTTCTCACCAAACCAAGGTCTAACCGGTTCCAGGGTTGGGAGGTCTTGTTTTTTTCACCTTGGCTGTTTCATAACTGAACTCCATAGGCTCTCTCTATACTTGTCAGTGTTTTCTGCATTTTTGTGCTTATTCGCTATTGCTGAGCTTACATTCTGAAGTTTTGGTGATCCAAAATGTTCTGGGGTTCAGGAATAATATGGGGAACATTTTAAAAAATAATTAAGAGCAATTGACAAAGCCTCCTGCTTTAGAAGGGAATTTTGGCCTACAAAGAACCACTGTTAAATCAGATTGGACAGGAGGTGATATCAAAGAAATATGCAGGTATTAAGGGTATAGACAAAACTTCTAATCCTGAAGCTTGGGAAATACTGCTCTGGAGTATTTGGAATTCAAATTTATTCATATAGTTAGTCACTTATTGATTCATGCATTCATCATGTGGTCATTCAGTCAATCACAAATACTTATATTAAGCATCTCCTTTGTACCAAGCACTGGGCTAGCTATAGGGTATGCAGTAGTAGTGACAAAAATTCAGAGTTCCAGCCCTAATGGAGTTTCCTGTGTAAGGGAAGGGAGATTCCACGTGCCTTCATGAAAAGCAGACTTTTTGTTTCTTAAAAAAACGATGTTCTTAAACAGATTTTAAATATATAACTGAAGTGACAAAAATGTACTCTCTGTAAATTGATAACATCTAGTAGATGTGTTTCCACTTGGAATTTCCATTATGAGAAATAAATGTACCAAACCTAGTGTCAGAAATTACTGTGGACCAGGTTAGAAAAATAAACACTTTTCACTTGAAAATACATCACTCCATTATTTAGTATTATAAAATGAAGAAGAATCACTATTACTGCTGTAGTTAGTAAATGAAAGTATATTTGCTTTCACAAATGTTGGTTTGATTTTGAATCTCCTGAGATGCTGGCTGAGCTTTAAGGACAGACAACTTCCCACAGGCCACCATCTCTAATGATTGGAGTCACCAGTTCCAGATTCACTTTTTTATATCTGTGGAGGTGATTGTGGTATTCCTGGAATGATCCAAGAATATCCTTTAAGGGCCCTTCATAAAACTCGTCTCTTCCAAAGAACAGCAGCAACTCAAACTCACAGCAAGGCTACTCAAAACATGTATGTGCTCACGTTCATCTGGGAGTGATCCACTGGCTGTTGTAAAACAACAAAATGCATTCTGAAGAACCTGAAACTGTGGCAAAGGAACCTGCCATCTTCCAGCATAATGTTCAACCACTTGACAGAAGTGTCCACAGTAATCCCGACTGCTGAACCCCCCGCTGCCACCACCTACAGCTGTAAGCCCTACAGGGACAGGGACCTATAAGGGGACTCCACAATGGCCATGAGCTCTTTTCCGAGTCATTCAGCCTCTTGGTCGCTTTCTTCCTCTGCCATGAGGTTCTCACTGCCCAGCGCTTACCAGCCCCTGTGCTGCGGCCGCTGCTGTAGCTGCCTAGACTAACTTCCCAAATTTCAAAATATTTTAAAATGAGAAATGATATAATCTATTAATATAATCTTTTTAATTATAATTTGCTTAGGCAGTTTTCATTTTGGGCTGTATTTTCTTTATATCCATACTGATTTTTGTTTGTTCTATCAAATACTGAGATGCCATAGTCTACTATCCCTGCATTCAAAATTTTGTTTGGGATGACCTCGGAGCATAATTCGACCTCTGTACAACCTTAACTAAGGCAATGGGGTATTA